TTTATTGGTTGACAGTAAGTCAATATTTATCTTATTTCTCTTCTTTTCTTGTTCTTGCAAATGATCAAGACCAACTAGTAATCGTAACAACGCAAGAAGAGAAGAGGAGAGAAAAAAAAGAAAAAGAGAAACAAGAAGACCTATGTGGAGATGAAGAGGCAAAAAGAAAAAAAAACGAGCAACGAAGTAGTTTATTTGCTCGTCCGTCAGTCTTGCTCTCATCATTCATTATCAATACATTTTTTTCTTTTTCACGGATGATAGAAAACTTGACGAGGCTTGCATCATTTATTCTTCAATCATTTGAAACACTTGAGGATGTAGAGAATGAAAGGTAATCATAATACTTATTTATCTTTTATTGACAGGGGTGTCCTGAGTGGAGGTTCGATTGAGTGTTCCCTTCAGTTTTAAAACATTGTCATTTTTACTCATCGTTGACTTTTTTCCATTAATTCTCACTCAAATGCGTATCCTCCTGAATGCTCTGAACTTTAACCATAATCTTCTAATCGGTTTCCTGTATCATCAACTCTCTTCCTCAATCTTAACGGGTTCGAGATGCCCCTCTTTATTAACACATATATAGAATATTTCGATCAGACAATGATACTTTTATATTGACAGATTCGAAAAGAAAATAAAACTTAAAGCGTTATCAAATAATAATACTTACTTTTGATCTTGTTCTTATCATTTGTAGACGTCAAAAGACTCTATGAGATGTAATTAAGATTTCTGTTCTACTAACATTTTCTGATAAAACAGGTCTTTAAACTCCTGCTGAGTACCATAGAATCTCTATGTAATACTAATGTAAATGTCAATTCTAACGGAAAAATATATGTCAACATTCAGACTTTGATAACATTTAATCTTGTATTAGTTTAGATCAATAGCAAATTGACCCAGACGAATATTATCCAATTTTCAATGAAATACAAAAGGTATAACGAATTAGGTATTTTAGCTTGAATATAATGAAAATCTAACTGATATACTTTATTTTTTAACTATGAATAGTAGGAAAATATCCATCACATTTCTAATTTTTAGGACACTTTGGGCTTAGCAATATGTATACTTCACTTTAGTTGAAAGGAAGATTTTTTTTTTAAATTTTCAGACCATCGAAAAAATTACATATGAAATTATTTATGACTAGATAAGATCCCTTGAGTGTCAGTAACTAAGCTTATTTGCTTGTGCGTTATTTTTTAAGATCTGACACAGGAGCTATAAACTTCTTTTCCGTTTACTTTTACTGCGATGTTTCGGATATGTGCTGCTTTGTATGATTAAGTCTTTTTTTTGTACAGAAACACAACTTTTGAGATTTCATATAAGTAAGCTTTTTATTTTTGTATGAATTATAAATCAAGATTAAACCTTCAGTTTGACATATTCGATAGTCAAAATTTTGGACAAACTTCCAACAAAAACATTCTCAAACAATTAACTTCAGCTTCGGAAGTTTTTAAGACTTTCCTATGGAATTTTTGTTATTATTTCGATAATGGTAGTTCAGTCAATAGACTTACATATCTAATGAAGGCTTCATTAGAATTCACTTTATATACTTAGATGACATTCTTTTGGTTTTTTGTCGTACCCAGGATTATCCTTCTGAATGTCAGACACGGTTATAAAATGGCATATTATTACATTGAGTTTGACCATATTTCGCCATAATCCATCATCATGTTTTATGGCACGTTTTATTTATAGGCGAACGACCATCGTATTTTCACCGTTTTATGAGATTACGGAAAAAACAGCGACTTAAGAAAATTAGTTTTCTTGTATCTGAGTAACTCTCCTGGAAAAAAAATTTATCAAAATACAAACGGTATTATGTATGTTTCTACTAGGTCGACCACATTTAGTTTCGTATTCCATAGTTTTTTTTTGTTGTACATGTTCCTTCTACATCATATTATTTAACCTATTTATATTAGCGAAGTCATGTTCTATGAGAAAAAATACTTTAGTTTCTATCTTCTGTTTGATAGGAAAAAAGAAATCTGATGCCAATCTGTATAAATAGGAACATAGAAACTTATTGAGTTCTTTGTGCACATCTGCTATAAGTATGATAGATGTTTTGCTATTTTCTTCGTTCTCTTTTCTCACATATTATCATCGTGTTATTTTGCATTTCTTACAAGGACGTACTGACGGCAGCAAAAGAACTTTTTACAGAAGTCGCTTTTGATCGTATTGCTCTATTTGTCTTTCTTTGCTATGTGTATGTGTGTGTGCGTGCGCGTTTATGTGTAAGGAACCGATCGTCCGACCAGATGATTTCTGTAGGAGTGCCTACTTGTTTTGCTTCCAATGCACTATTCTCGTTTTGACAGTTCGACGCCTTTCTCTCTTTTCTATTTTTTTGCGGTAAACGCGTTAGACGCTTTAGTTCTTTCTATTCTACACATAATAAAAACTATATATATTTTTGCATTTGTAAGTCTTACTTCTTTCCTCTTCATTGACGTCGCACATTCGAGAGAGACCCAAATATACCAAAACATTCTATAAGAAAAACAAGAAAAGAAGAAGAGAAATAAACTTGATCAGAATATTTTTCTTTTTTCTTTTTCTCTTTAGTTTGAAAGCACCAAAAAAAAACTAGAGAAAAACACGATGATAATAATGAAAATCTATTTTGTGCGTTGCTATATCGCTAGGGATCGAGGAAAAGGAAGCGAAAATAAGACGACAAAAAAACATATGAGAAGATGAATAGTTATTACTTCTAACACTCAAATACACATTTATATATATATATATATAGGTAATTTTCAAATATTTAGATATATTATTTGAATTAAAAGTAATCCATCGCCATACACGTGGATCAATAATAGTTAAGTTACATGAGTCTATTTTTAGAAGAATATAAGCTCAATGTTCATTGTTGTATCGCATTTGATAATCTATTAATAACATGCAAATTATTCAACCCATCATAAACCAGCTATTATCTCTTAACAAGCTTCTTTTCTCGTTGATTATTTCAAACAGACATTACTTAAATTCTTGTCAGTATTCCAAAAGTTAATTTTGACTACTATTAAAAAATATTTCTGTCCAGTAAGTACTATCTTTGAATCAAATATGTCTTGTCTCTATCCTGATAAATTTAAGAAAAAAAAACACAACATACATTTTTCTTGTCTGTTTGTTACTGTTTTCACATTCCATTTATTTCTTATGTGTTCGATTGATGGAATTTCTTTTTCTCTCTTTTTTTACTTATATATACATCCGTATGTTGTTTATTTGATTTGTTGATTTTCAGTAAATTATTGTTTGTTCGAAATTAGAAAAACATAAGACAACTAATGAATATGAACAAAAGAAAATTTTTCTTTTTGTTTTTGGCGCTCAGCATTTTTGTTTTGTTTTTTTTTTGTATTCAAGTTTTTCCTAGTACTAAGTTCGTAAGTAAATGTGAAAGGCAAACTAAGTCGTTATAATGTGTATAGAAAAAGAACTGACAACAACACACCAAAAAAACAAGAGAAGAAAGAATGCTTGAATACCTCTATGATGTCGAGGAAAGCAAAAAAAAAGCATAGTCATGTCTTTTTCTTCTGTTGTGCTCTATTTTTCATTCAGTCAGTTGCTCGACACCACCATGAATACTACTATTACCCTTACGACACACATACTCTTTCTTGTTTTTTCTAGCAGAAGAATAAGATATTTAGTTTCTATGTAACATCTTTTTTATTTATAAAATGAATTATATATATTGATTAAGATTATGTTATATTGGAACTTTTTTTTTCTGTTTTAGATTTTCTATGTGTAAAATAATGTTATGTATTGACCCTGAGACCCTAACTTGAGACTGTTATTGAATCTCTCAGGTTTCGGTCTCCGGCTCGATCATTCATTATAAATTAATATATATTGACTTATTTATCTTAATCATATATGTACTAAAATTTATCTCTATTATTATTTATTTCAGGTGGAAAAAAAAGTAAATCAATAGTGTTTTGTTTTTGTTATCATGATCCAAATGTTACTTAAAATTATGAATTGATGGAAGGCAACTATTGACAATCTAGGAAAGAGTAAACTGGTTTTTATAATTATTTGTTTGCTGTTTTTGCATAATCATGATGATTTTTTTTTTAATTAAAAATACGATTTATATTTTGAACTTTTCTACGTTTCAAATATGTATTAGAATATTTTACATTGTAATATTTATATTTCGTTTTAATATTTTAGTAATGAAAAAAGAAAAAGAAAATTAGTAAACAAATATTTGTTTTTGTGCAAATAAAATGGAAGAAATGGATTGAAAATTGGTTTTTTTGTTTTTGTTTATTTGAATAAAATTTTCGAAATTTTATATAGATAGACTTGAGAATTGAAAATTAAACGAGAATTTCATCAATGAAAAATCTAGTTCTACAAAAACAAAATTTTCAATTCATATTATTGAAATTGTAGAGATGTCGGAAACCATAGTTACGCACTCATTCAAGAGATTTTATTACATCAATGAAAAAACAATATGCACTTAAACCTCGACAAATGAACCTTGTTTTATTTCGGTGTGTATACCTGAGACAATGACGTTGATAATGGCATCATTTATTTTTCAAAATTTTGTATTTCTGATAAATTCTTAACATAATTTGAATTTTTGGAATGCTTGTTCAATTCGAATTTGAAGATAATTTTTCTTGACTACTAGAAAGACAATGTTTTCATTCTATTGACACAAACATGCACAATGTAATTCTATTTAAAAAGTCTGTGCGGTTATTGTCAGCTGATGTGATTCGTAAAATCATATCTGATCGATATAGAGTGACATCTGGATTATTCTGTTTTTATCATACTCATGGTAGAGTTATAACTATAGTAAAAAACTATCGAATGGTCGTTTAAAAGTTTCTCGACACAAACATTACATAAAGTGCATTTGTTTAAATTTCGTTTTATATCTGTGATTAGTTTTGCTCGTGTCCATTTTCATGGATAACGAGGCAACTGCTGTTATTAATAACGGTGATAATACTGATACACATTTACAACCTAATATATCTACTGATAATGGTTCTCGACGTAGTTCACGTATTGGTTCTGCTCGTTCAGGTCGTAGTAAAGCAGCATCCGTACGTGAAGCAACTGCTATTGATGGTTCAAATGAACGAAAACCATCTGCAAATGGTGTTACATCTCCAAAACCAGATATAACTACCAATGGTGATCGACAACATTCAGCTGTAGTTAGATCTAAACCTGCATCACCTGCAGTACCCATATTTGATACACCTAGTGGTGAATATGATGATGATAATATAAATCAAGAAGATGGTCATGTTAAATCAGAAATTGATTCTATTGTAAGTTGAATTTCGATCAAAATTAGATATAAGAACTTTCATGAAAAATTGATCTTGAGCCAGGTGACGCATTTCACATAGCATGAAACTTTCAGAATATGTTGTAGCCTAGCTTCTGATCTATAAGCTGATATATGTATAAAGATTCTACGTTTTAATTTTAAATCACAACAGTGAAAATACAAAAATTTTCTCTCCAAATTAATCTTATGGGCTTTAAAAGGTTATTTGACTGCTCTCGAGTAAAAATTGAGTTAAACTTTCTAAGCGCACAAACTTCTGGCTTTTGACACTTTCTAGTGTGTCAAAAGTAAAGCAATACTTTATCCAAAAACTTTCCGATCATTAAAATAATAATAAAAAAATTTCGATTAAAAAAACGAACAACTTCACATGCCCTTTGAAATGAAAAAAAGAGCAGGAATTAGCTACAATGACGTTTCCTCAAGAATTCTGAGATGTGCAATCAGTAGAGAAAAAGCCAAACGAGGTATAAAATAAGAAGAAAGCATATCTGTCATTCAAGATCATACCTAAGGCTATGCTTTTCAATTTTGATTTTTTTGATAAACATTGACTTTTTGTATTATTTTAAAATTTAGCTCGAATATATTCATAAACTTGTCACACTTCCTGGTTTGGAAGAAAACATGTGGACAGATGAAATTCATGGACGAATTCGTGATTATCTCAATGATCCAGACCATCGTATAATGTGTTTTTATATTGATCGTGTACTTGGACTTTCTGTTGAATATGGTGTACCAACAAATCCATTTTCACATTTAGTGTTTTTTATGAAAAATCAATCAATACGTATTTTTGATAAAGAACAATTTATTCAGTAAGTTACTTTTTTTCCGTCTACATCAAATTTAAATCATATAAAAAAACATATTTCTCTGTTTTTTTTCTTGCTTTTAGTGAAGTTCAATATGGTAATTTTGGTGGTAAACATTTTTCATCTCTTCTTCGTTTAATGTCTGGTCTTTATGCTCCATTATTTTTTGGTAATAAAATGTGGCCAGATTCAATAAAAAATGATTTTGCATCACAATTACATCGTTTTCTTGCAACATTAACTGATATTCGTTGGCGTATGGAAGGTATAACTAAATTATATATACCAAAAGAAGGCTTAGATATTCCAGTTGAACAAGCTGCAAAAGATAAAGAATTAGTTCAACGTTTAGAATCAGCTATGGTCCATTGGTGTCGACAATTAAAAGATGTTTCACATTCACAAGATGCATCTATTGTTGATGAAAATAGTGGTCCATTAGAAGAAATTGAATTTTGGAAAGCTCGTAGTCAAGATTTATTAGGTATTAGTCAACAACTTGATCAACAATCCATTAAACAAATAACACAAATATTAAAAATAGCTAAATCATCATATTTATCACAATTTCTTAAATTAGCAGATCAATTACAAGCGAATACAAAACGTGCTGATAATAATTTATCATTTTTACTTGCTTTAAAAGATCCATGTCATGAATTAGCTGATGCTAAGCCAAATGAAATAGCAAGAATTTTGCCTAAAATGATATCTTTAATTCGTGTTATTTGGATTAATTCAGAATTTTATAATCGACCTGAAATGTTAACTGCACTTTTTCGAAAAGTAAAATTTTAATGAAAAGAAAGCAATTTTTTCAAATTTTTTGTTATGCTTTTTAGCTTAGTAATGAAGTTATTCGTCGATGTACAGCTGCAGTCGATCTTGATAAAATTTTTGATGGTAATATTATATCAAGTCAGAAAACATTAAATGAATGTATTGAATGCTGTCAACAATGGCAAGAAATATATAATAATGTATGCAAATTATTATTTTCTCATTTTTTTGGTTTTAAATGAGGGATGGGATCGATAATTGATTAAAATAGTCCTATAGCACTTAAGTTACGCCAAGACCTATTTCAATAATTGATGTCTGTCACATGTATGTTCAACCCCACTAAAGCCTGCCCTCCAGGTCCAAAAACTTTGGACTTCATGGGCTCTATCCTACACATTTCTCGAAACGACTGATCTAGGAAACGTGTAGGGTGCAGTAGCCACCAACAAAAAGACCGAAAACGAGTATCTTGCATCTTCCGGTGGGACTATTCTATTCTGCGGACAAAATTTCATGGAAGGTATCAAAGTATGATTCGTTCGGGTTCAGGCTCGGGTGCAAAAATTTTGAATCTGAGAGGCTCTAAATTCCAATATTGACAATAGTCATCTTTTCTATCAGTCATTCTGATGACAAACCGATCAAGTTTTCATGCTGGTTAATAGTGCTTTTGAAACACTACAAAATGGTATAAAAATACTCAGGAAAGAAACAGCTAACCATTCCAACAAATCCAAAGGACAGTATTCTCGAATCAGAATTTTGTGCTTTTTCGAATTATATGTGACTGGTTTTCGTCTGAAGAATTCGAATTTTTACTGAATGAATGAGATATTTCAAATCAGTGCAAAACTTTGAGTCGATCTCGGAATGTTTTAAAAACAACTGTATAAAAACTTGTCCTATTTGTCATCAGATTGACTGATGAAAAAGTTGATGGTTTATCCACCGTAAAATTTGACATACATATGATAGTCATTTAATATTACAGTCAGCCTTTGAATAGCGTAAACAAGTGCTATAGGGGCATAAATCGACTAGCAATCGTTTTCAGGCATCTTGTATTATAGTTTAACATACAAGAAACCAGATTTGTCAAGGGCACCAAGTTCATCAGTTATCAATCTTCTCTTTCCTTTATACTTATTTAATTAATTTTATAAATTTTTAGGCTCAAAGTCTTCATGAAAAATTTTCATTAAAAGGTTGGCGTCTTGATAAAACAACAATTTTTGCTCAAATTGAAGCATTTATTCAACGATGTCGAGATTTACTTGATTTATGTGAATGTCAAATGCATTTTGCACGTTGGGAAGAAGGTGTTCGAACTGAATTACCAATATTTGGTGGACAACGTGGTCCATCAATTAATCGAATGTTAACAGAAATTGAAACAGCATTTGATAAAAATTTACAAGAATTAAGAAAAGTACAACATACAATTTTAAATGTTAAAGCTACAACATGGCATGAAGATTATAATCGTTTTCGATCAGCTATTAAAGATCTTGAAGTTATGATGACAAACGTTATTACATATGCATTTGATGCTGTTAAAACAGTTGAACAAGGTGTTGAAGTTCTTGATGTTTTTACACATTTAAATTCAAGAGAAGTATGTTGATTTTTATATGATTATTTTTTTTTTAATATCGAAAGTTATAACTTAATGATTACGGTTCCTTTGATGAAATACGATCTAAAACGAGTATTACAGCATACACGTAGAGATTTGGATCCACTTCCTGCCTCACCACAGAACGTAACAGACACTTTGACGATTCTCTCCTTGAGAATGCACAATAACAACTATATCGTGTTTCACGCTTTAATCCCACAGGATTCTACTTACAGATTTTTTTGTGACTGATTTACAAAAATTTTTGCTGGAGCATATTTCGATCAACGGATGCCAATATGTAATAAATGGAACTAATCTTAATGTTCTCTTAGTTGAAGGTCTATGTAATTCAAATTGGACAAAAACTGCTGATAGACGGTTATGTGTAATGTGAGCTGAATCGATCGAAAATTGCGTTGAATATTTTCAAGTGAATCCATGTTGAAGATTTGTCCTTAACGCTGTTAGATCTAGCATACAGTATACCGTATAGTCTACCGACGTTCGTGTCCTATCTAAAACACTTGAATAATCTGTTTGCAAAGTTTGGAAGTTGATAGAATCTATTATTTGATGATAGCACTGATCTGTACAGGAGAAGAAGAATATTACGAAGTTCGAGCATCATTCGCGAATCATTTTCCGTTCGATTATATATATTGCCATTTATCTTTCTCTTTAGGCAATCCGTCGTACATTAGATAGAAAAACTGTTGATTTATATAAGATTTTCAAATATGTACTTCAAACAATTCAATCAATTATTTCAACATCATCAATTCCTCAATCACTTGATCGTTTTCATCCTCATTATGCTGGTAGTGCATTTTGGGCTCGAAATTTAAAACGTCGTATTGAACGTATGATGTCATTTTTAAATATGGCACATTTTTTGCCTCATGTTGGTATTTCATCAGAAATTCGACAACAATATGAATATGTTAAACAAGCATTAGATGATTTTATTCAACGACAATTTAAAGAATGGTCATATCATATTGAAAATGAACCAACAAAAAAACTCGAATGTCCATTAATTAAACGTGTTAATGATGAAGGTTATTTACAAGCTAATTTTGATCCATCTTTAATAAAATTATTTCAAGAAATTAAATTTTGGGAACGTCTTGGTTTTGATATTCCACCATATGCAACAGAAATTTTATCACGAAAAAATGAATTACGTACAGCACGTGAAAATGTTATGTTAATTGTACGTGATTATAATCGTATATTAGATAAATTAGAACCCAATGAACGTATTCTATTTAAAGAACGTATTAAAAATTTAGATAAAAAACTAGCACCAGGTTTAAATAAAATAACATGGCTTAAACCAACACATGAATATACAATTGATTGTCGTATACATGCATCAGATTTACAACAACAAGTCGATAAATTTAAACAATCTTATCTTGATTGTATTAAATTATGTAAAAAAATTAGTGAAACACTTTTAGTTAAAATTGATACAAGAAAAATTTTTGAAAATCTTGAATTTGAAGAATATCAGGTAAACAAAAATAAACAACTTCATCGGATTTTGAACCAAGATACTAGATACGTAGTTTTGTAGAACAATTTACGACGTATCAAATGATACATAAGACAAACGTTTCGATGATCTGAAGGTTTATATATTGATTATAATCGTTGAGACATACATATGATACTCATAGATATTATGCCCCATAAAATAGACTTATGCAGATTTTGTTTGTAAACTTAATTCCATCAAGTTATAGATGCTCCTTCATTTTCTATAATCAATAATTTTCATCGTTGCTTTCTTCATACTCATAACAAGTCTCTTTTCTTAGATCTAGATTACTTCTTGACTACTTGATCATCCAATATGTTCAACTGTGTATCACAGAATCCATAAGCATTAATGTGAAACTTTCTGAAAAATTGCACACTATCAAGTTTCATATGTTTCATACATAATATCTTTCGGAGCAGTAGGAAATCATTGTTAACTTGCATGCTTATTTCCTAGAATAGCCTATATTTCTATATGAAGGGGCCAGTATATTGGCGATACTGAAACAATAGTCAATGGCCCTGTGAAAACTGTTAACTCATGAATAACCAGCACAACATCTCTTAAGAACAGATATAAATGACTCAATTTTTTGGCTCCCAGACCCTGGAGGTATAGATACAGAGACACTCTTTGTTGAACTAGAGATGAGGTATTTATGGATTTTTCTAGAATATCATACATAAGTCAAACTTGGATACTTGAAATAAAGAATTGGAAAAAGAAATAATAAAACATAGCAGACCTTCTTGCAACACGATGCCCGTACTCTTCTCCAGGGATCTGGAAGCCAAAAGCATTTTTTCCATTTATAAAAGAGTTATGTAGGTTAGTTCATCAGGAATACTGTGCTAATTATTAGTACGTAACAATTTGTAATAGTTAAGGGTCGTTAAAACACCATCAATATAATGATTCCTTCATATGGAAAATTGGCCATTCTAGAAAACAACCTTGCAGGTTACCAAGAAGTTCCTATCGTTCCAAACGATTTTATGCATGGAATGTATAGAGTTTGATCTTGTGCAGTTTTTGAGAAAGTTTCACGTTGGTACTTATTTGTTCAGTGACACAAAATTGAACATATCGGAATATCAAGTAATCAAGAGTTAAGAAAAGAGATTAATTTTAAGTATGAAGAAAGCGATAATGAAAACTGTTAATTATAGAAAATCGAAGATCACCTATAACTGTGTGAAATTAACTTTGGAAACAAATCTTGCGTAAGTTTATCTTATGGACCTTCAAAACATCAAAAATTTGATTTCTTAGATACCATTCAATGTACCGTGAATAGCTCTACAAAACTACATACTTTGTATTCTACGTCAAGGGGAGTCACCAAATGTGGCAACATTCTTGTCCTTTTTTCATTTGTTTTTAATCAAAAATTATTTTTTGTTAGAAACAACATCGCAAAATGGCAAGTGAAAAACTTCGTGAATATTTTAATGAAATTTTAAGTAGAATTCAAGAAACTCATAAAACATTTGAACATGATTCACTTGAAGTTCAACATGAATGGGATCGTATTGTTAAGGAATTAGATAAATGGCTTGAACGTGCTATTAGATATAATTTTAAAGCATCACTTGCTGAATTATCTAAAGCTATTAATGGTGATGGAAAAGCTGCACCAGGGCCTTTATTTAAAATTGAAATTATTCTCGAACCGAAAACAGTTGGTGATACAACTTTATCACGAGTAAATTTTTATTGTTTGTTTTTATCTAATTTAATTAATTTATTTAATAGATCAATTTTAAACCGGATTTAGCTACATTGAAAGCTATTATTAATAATATTGGTGAACATGAATTAGCTGATTCAATTACATTTCTTCATAGACTTAAATCAAGATCGAATGAAGAAGTAAGTTAGAACTTTTCCGATATTTACACTGAAGAAAAAAAAAAATTATCTCTACTATACTTGATAGATTAACTAAAAATGTTATTCAAACCAAGTTCGATAAGTTTGAAACTTTGTCCCTAAAAAGTAAATCTATTAGTCAATTGTTTTTGAGAAAACGTCCTCTTATATTTCATCTATGAAATCTCGATATGAAATGTATTTGATCGAGAACTTCATTACCTGTTCAAAACGCTATTTCGATTTGAGTTAAATGTTTCGTAAACCCCTCCCCATAATAGAAGCCCCTCCCATATTAGAAGCCTCCCCCTTATTAGAAGCCCCCTCTGAGATGAACAACGTGTTTGACGTATTAGAAGCCCCCTAATTTTTTGAAAAAATTTTAAAATTTTCAAGATTTTTTTTCGCATTTTCATGCTAAAACTGCTAAAATTTTTCGATTTTCAGGTAAAAAGTTGGCTGACTCTTATCTAGCTTAGCTAACATCTGAAAATAATGTCAAAAATCTTCTGGAAAACTCATAAAAACCTTGAAAGTCGCTAAAAACCCTTGCGAACCCTTTTTCCTGGCAGTTTACGAAATTTTTTTGAGACTTAATAGAAGCCCCCTCCAGAAGCTTCATATGATAGACATATTAGAAGCCCCCCGGGGGCTTCTAATATGGGGAGGGGTTTATCATAAGAAACAGAAATTTTGAATATTAGTATAGAGATATTTTATTAAAAAGAATATAAATTATAGTTTCTATAAACATGATCATATCATTTTTTAAAAATTTTTTTGATGAAATAAAAAGTAAATAGATCTAATTATTTCAAGAACTATATGAATATTTGAATTGTTTTAGTCACTTCATATGTTACTTAATAAAGATGAAGCTAAACAAAATTTACAACAACAAATAGCTGTTGGACTTGATGCAAATGAAAAACATCTTGATGATTATCAAACAACATGGAATGGTGTACGAGAATTATGGGATGTTGATAAAGAACGTTTTATTGCACGTTATGAAGAACGTTGCCCAGATGCATCATTTTTTGATGCTGATATTAATCGTTATACTGAAGTTGCTAATAATGTACAATCACGTGATACATTTGCAACAGTACAATTTGTACTTGTTGATTGTTCTCCATTGAAAAATGCTTTAGTTGTTCATTGTTTACAATGGCAAGCAAAATTAACTGGTAATGAAAAAAATAAAAATAAATAATATTAAATAATGATTTGTTTTTTTTTTTCTTTTCTATTTCTAGCTCTTTTATTGAAATTAGCAACAAATGGTTTAGAACAATTAACACGTTATATCGAAGAGAATAGTGTTAGGTAAGAATACGATAGTATAAAATGAATTTCTTGAGTTTTGTTTTTAATGTTTGATTTAGTGTTATGATGACACCAGAAAATCATTATGGACTCGAAGCTAAACAAAAATTATTAGAAACATTACAACAAGACTTACCAGTTTATGAAGGCAAATTTGCACCTTTACAAGAACAATTTGCTTTACTTGAAAAATATGAAAAACCTGTTCCGGCTACTGTAAGTTTTCTATATGATATAAAAAATTACGAGTTTTATTCAAGATGGAAAGATTGGAATTTGTTGGAATTCTATGAAATTGTATAGGAGTCATGGACTCTATAGTGTGAAAATCGTTAGATATACTACTAGTGCAGAAAAATGTTTTACCAGATATCAACAATGAATGCAACATTTTCAATAAAATTTTTCATAGTCTTGTCATTCACGCTTCCTTGTTTTCAGATCTTAAGAGTACGAATGTCTATTAGTGCCGTAACGAAAAATAGGGTAAGCTGGGCGCCGCCCTAGCACCGGCACAAAGAAAAACATAACAATTACTGTCAATGATACTCTCTATTGCATGGATTACCCTCAAGACCGTAAGGCACTACCCTATCACTCACGATCTTCTGGTTACACCAATATTGTCTCTTTTCTGTTCACTCACATCTATACTCACTAGAACCCGTCGGATTGGCCCCGAACCTGATGGGATTCAATAGTCTATATGCGATTCTGATTAAAAAAGTTCGTTGAGCGTATTAAAGCACGAATCGATTGGGTTCTCAAAACATTCAATAAATCGGATCCGAATCCAATTAGTTCTAATTCTTACCCTTCACTCCAAAGAAAAAAAGAGATATCAATATGGAATAAATTTGTGGTGTCTCCCCCTCTCCCTTCCCCTCCACTTGTCTGTCAAGAAAAAAACAACTTTTAAAGACGATGAAAGTTATTTCAAAAGTCTTATTTTCATTTGTTTGAATGTGAAAAAATAAAATAGATTCTTATGATTATTAGACTCGTGAGATGCTAGCACAATTAGATGAACGTTGGCAACATTATCTTCAATGTTTAACTGACAGTGAAGAAATGTTGAAAAAATTACGTGAAAAATTCAAATCAAAATTATTACAACAATCTGAAGATTTTAAAAAGAGTGTTAGTGAACTTGTATCAGATTTTAAAACAAGTGGTCCATTTACATCATCAACAACACCTGAAGAAGCACTTAATCAAATTGAAGCGATGAAACAACGTTTAGCTAAATTAAAAGAAGAAGAACAAGAACTTCGTCGTGGTCTTGGAATATTTCGTATTGATCATCCATTATCAAAAGATATACAAAATCTTGAAAAAGATATTGAAGCATTAGAAGGTATATGGTCAATGGCACTTGATTGGAATCAAATGTTTGATAAATGGAAATTAACAACATTTGGAAATCTTCAAACACAAGTTATGGAAGATTATGCTCAAGCACAATATAAAAAATTACATAAATTATCAAAAGATTTTCGTGAAAAAAATTGGGAAATTATTGATTCAACTAAAAGTCGTGTTGATCAATTTCGACGTACAATGCCTTTAATGAAAGATTTACATAATAAAGATATGAGAGATCGTCATTGGAGACGTATTAAAGATGAATCACAAAAAGAATTTGATGAATCATCAGAAGATTTTACTTTAGAAGCTATTATTAATATGCATTTTGAAGAAAATGCACAATTAATTAATGAAATTAGTGAAGCAGCACAAAAAGAAGCACAAATTGAACGTGGTATTGAAAAAATTAGAGAACAATGGGAAAAAGTCGAATTTGAAATTACACCATTTAAAGATAAAGGTATGTATATATAATTGAGTAGAGATGATTCTTGGTTTATATATGGGACATTTATTAGCGCACATTATACCGAACTTTCTACTAACAGTTTGTATCCAGTTTGAATCTCATGGAATTAAATATACACTCTCAATAGCAATATTGCTGATATGATATCAGCAAGAAATCAATAGAATACTTTATATATCGATGATTGAGAACTATTTTCACAGAAAAATTATTGTATAATGTTCGAAAAAGAAAACTGGACTTCTCAGATCAAATCAGCACAGTAGCAAGCTGCCGTTTTGATTGCTGATAGGTGCAGTATTACCACTATATTTCACTGAATTCTATACGATCGGATACTCGATTTTGAAATACGCTCGTAATACTGCATCTACCGCACTTCAATGTACAGCTTGTTACAATCGAAACTGTATGAAACGGCAGTATACAGTACCGTTTTTGACTGTCTCGATGACTGCAATCATTGTTCTTGATCCGATGGACACTATATTTACTCTGGTCGAACAATACGGCGCGTATGCGACCATATAAGGCCCTTTATGACCTGTTTACGAACGGTATTTTATTGTACATTAAACTGGTGTTTTACATAGTGGCAAAGTTAGGATTTGGGGCTGAGAAGATCGAGCTCTCTCTGACTCCACCACTAGTATTATGACGAAATACAGTCCATTTTTTCACTACGTTCGACTGTAAACGTTCATAGAAATACGAATAGTTGCAACTATCATCGCGCGTAATTTTGACTTCTGTTCACCGAAAATAACCTTATTTGAGAAACAAGATTTCCATTGTTCTACGATCAGTTCTTGTTACCTAAGCAATTGTTTATCAAAATTAAATAAAAATTCTTTTTCTAGGTCATTTTAAAATCAAATCAACTGAAGAAATTAATAAAACCATTGAAGACCATCAAATATCATTATCAACATTTAAAGCATCTCGTTTTATTAAACCATTTGCTAAAGAAGTTGATAAATGGGAACGTGATATATCTCATGTTCTTGAAGTAACTGAATTATGGTTAACTGTTCAACGACAATGGTTATATCTTGAAGTAATTTTAATTCTAAAACAAAAAAAAAAACAAAAGATTTTCTCAAATATATAACTTTCTTTAGAACATTTTCTATGGTGAAGATATTCGTCGTCAATTAGCTAAAGAAACTGCTTTATTTGATGAAGTTAATGAAAAATGGAAAGCTGTTATGACAACATTAAATCAATCACCAAATGCATTTCATGCAACACATTTAGAAGGTGTTGATAAAGAATTACAATATATGAATTCTAATCTTGAAGAAATACAAAAATCTCTTGAGATGTATTTAGAAAATAAACGTCGACAATTTCCAAGATTTTATTTTATATCAAATGATGATTTACTTGAAATCTTAGGTCAATCAAAAAATCCACCTGGTGTTATGCCACATATGAAAAAATTATTTGATAATATTAAAACATTAACTTTAGTTAAATCAACTACTAATGGACCAATGTCGGCAACAGAAATGCGTTCAAATGAAGATGAAGTTGTTCCATTTGAGGGTCAAGTAAGTTTTCATTTTTTTTTCTTGATAATTTTTATTTAATACAGAAAAAAAAACAACAACAAAATATTCGTTTTAGGTTTTACTTGATGGACAAGTTGAAAAATGGTTACGTGATGTTGAAAATAAAATGAAAGAAGTTGTTAAACGTAAAGTTTTTGCATGTCGTCTTGATTTATCAAATTGTGGTACAAAACGTGAAAAATGGTTAAAATCTCATCCAGGTCAAGCATGTATAACAGCAAGTCAAATACAATGGACAGAAGAAGTACAAAAATCTTTACGTGATAATGTATTAAAATTAAGAACAGATAGAAAAAAACAACATCTTGTTTTAAGAAATTTTACTGATATGATTAAAAAAAATTTAACAAAACTTGAACGTATTAAACTTGTTTCATTAGTTACAATTGAAATTCATGCAAGAGATGTTATTAATGATTTAATTAAAAATCAAATTAAAACTGAATCATCATTTGAATGGCAACAACAATTAAGATTTTATTGGAGAAAAGATGATATTATTATTGAACAAGCTATTGGAAGATTTTGGTATGGTTGTGAATATTTAGGAAATTCTGGAAGATTAGTTATTACACCATTAACTGATAGGTAAAGACTAATTCTAATATATATATATATATATTTTAAAATTATTTGCTTCTTTTTAGATGTTATATGACTTTAACTATTGCTTTATCATTATGTCGAGGCGGATCACCAAAAGGACCTGCTGGTAAGATTGAATTTTATTGAACTATACAATAATATAAAACGTATTCTCTTAGGTACTGGTAAAACTGAAACAGTTAAAGATTTGGGCAAAGCTATGGCATTCTATGTTATTGTTACGAATTGTTCAGATGCCATTGATTATAAATCAATGGGTCGTATGTTTTGTGGTTATTGTCAAACAGGTGCTTGGGGTTGTTTTGATGAATTTAATCGGTAATTGAAATTATTTTCTTTTTTGTTGTTTCGATTTTATTTGTCTCATAATTTAATTTAGAATTAATATTGAAGTACTTTCTGTTGTTGCTCAACAAATAACATCAATATTAAATGCAATGACAACACTTAAAAGTGAAATTGAAAATGCTATACGTGCTAAAACAAATATGTCCGAAGAAGATGCATTTGCAACAATTGATAAACGTTATTTAAGTAAAAAATTCACCTTTCAAGGACAAGATATTGATCTTGTTTGGTCATGTGGATTATTTATTACTATGAATCCAGGTTTATTAAATGAATTTCTTTGTTATGTTTAATTAATTTCTATTATTGTTTAGGTTATGCTGGTCGTACTGAATTACCAGACAACTTGAAATCAATGTTTCGTCCAATATCTATGGTTGTTCCAGATAGTAATTATATTGCTGAAATTATTCTTTTTGGTGAAGGTTTCTCAGATACACGTTTACTTGCAACAAAAGTTTATACACTTTATCAATTATGTGCACAACAATTATCAAAACAAGGTGTGAAAAAAAAAACATACTTTTATTCATTAGAAAGGGTTCTGCCGGATTAAGAAATCAAATATACAATGCTGTAGAGAAAGTCGAGGTGCGATAGATAGGATATAGTATATCTTATCTTTATAAGACTTTGAAAGAACTGAAGTCAATTTACTAATAGTTGACTATGTATCCAAAGCGCGATCATTGTGGTTCTTGGTAGCAATCCGAAGTGTTTGTAGAACTTTTTGCGAATTACAACGATCATGCTATCGTTGATAGGAAAAAAATGCGAGTTTTCAGTACTTTACTACCGTTTTTCACTAATGGTGCGTTTTTTTATGGTCAATGCTACTGAACACACAGTGACTTACCATGAGTGAAAAATGACGGTGAACTATTGAAAAGCCACATTTTTTTCTCCTATCAAAAATAGTAAAATATTTTAGATTGATATCAAGAACCACAATGATCATGCTTTGGATGTATAATCGTCTATCAGTTAATTGGTTCTAGTTCTTTTAGAGTAGCATGACAATAAGATTTACAATATATTATTTAATGCACTTTGACTTAGTCTACAACATAGTACATTTGATTTCTTAATTCAAAATAGATCACTTAATTTGATAGAGTCCTTAAGTTGTTACCCTATTTAGACTTTTACGACTTTGGTCTTCGTTCAATGGCTGCTGTTCTGCGTTATGCTGGTCGTAAAAAACGTGATTCACCACATTTAAAAGATGATCAAGTTGTTATATTAGCTATGAAAGATATGAATGTAGCTAAAATGACTGAACCAGATTTACCATTATTTAATGGCATTGTATCAGATTTATTTCCTGATATTGATACACCAACAATTGATTATTCCAAATTTAAAGCTGCTATTGAAACTGAACTTGCTGCACAATATTTACAAAGTACAGTTCATACAGTCACAAAAGTTATACAATTATTTGAAACAAAAAATTCTCGACATTCTGTTGTACTTGTTGGTTGTACACAATCAGGTAAAACAGCTATATGGCAAACATTAAAACGTTCAATGACAAGAATAGCAACACAAGATTCATCAGATTCATTATTTCAACGTGTACAAGAATATCCAATTAATGCTAAATCAATATCAATTAATGAACTTTATGGAGCATCAGATTTAGCAACTGGTGAATGGAATGATGGTATACTTTCAAATATAATGCGAACGGCTTGTGCAGGTAAAATTAATAATAAATAATTTCATTTGTGATCAATTTTATGTTTTAGATGATAAATCTGATCAAAAATGGATTTTATTTGATTGTCCTGTAAGATTATTATTATTTTTTTTATGAGTTAAAATTTTCATGTTTTGTAATAGATTGATGCTGTTTGGATTGAATCAATGAATTCCGTTATGGATGACAATAAAATTTTGACATTAACTAATGGTGAACGTATTGCTATGCCAGAACAAGTTACACTTCTTTTTGAAACTGGGGATATGGCTGTTGCATCACCTGCTACAGTTTCACGTAAGTACAAATCATAGAAATAATTGAATATATCAACATTTAAACGAGTCATACTCTAAAAGTTACAACCAATAATCACTCGATTACGATACAATCATCGTTAGATGGAAAAATAACTCCTATACAACAAAAAAAAATTACATCATAGGCATAGCTGCTTCATCCTTATCAGATGTATTTTATCCATCATCGGCAGTTATTTCGTTTATTAATTTACAAAAAGCAAGATTTTCAAACTGTATAGAAAGTTACATTCATCCTATAAATAAACAAAAACTTGAAATACTTGAGTTTCGTGAAAAGTTCTTTTCGGTCTCTATTAAAAATAGTTTTCAACTTCACTATTTTCTTCGATCTTTTGACGACCAATCAATAACCCAGTCCAACAGTTTCGAACCTGGCGTGTTCTATCCTGAACTCGAGATGCTATAAAATGGTTCATAAGGGAATGTGACCAGGTATCAAATTGTTTTTTATATTCAGACAATATTAATTTAATCAATAACAAAAGACCATATCTTTTTTTTTAAATCAGTGAAATTTTGATAGAGCGTAAGCGAAGCAAATCAAAGCATTCTAGATGATTCTATTATTCATGAAATAAGCATAGTCTTGGCCGAACAGTGATATGACTTCTGGAAGAGCTCATCTCGAATATTTTCCTTGTTGCATGTTCATAATGAGCTATAGAAAATGTGCTTCACTTTCTTAATTTATTAGCACAATCCGAGACCAATAAGTTAAGTTGTTCATTCTTCTTTTCAACCTTTCTTTTTTTTATAGGTTGTGGTATTGTCTTTTGTGATTATGATAATCTTTCTTGGCGTCCATTTATAACTAGTTGGATAAATCGAAAACCAAAAGAATATCATGAACCATTAACATATTTAACAAATAAATATTTAAAACCTATCATACAATTTAAACAACAAAATTGCAAAGAATTAATTCCAATAGCTGAATTAAATGGTGTACGTTCATTTTCTTATTTATTTGATTCATTAGCAACAAAAGAAAATGGTGTTGATCCAGCTGATGAAGATAATTTTTCACGTTTAACTGAATTATGGTTTTTATTTTCAACAATATGGTCTGTTTGTGCATCAGTTGATGAAGATAGTCGTAAAAAAATAGATGCATTTGTTCGTGAATTAGAAGGTACAATACCAAATAAAGATAGTGTTTATGAATATTATGTTGATCCTAAACAACGTGCATGGTTATCATGGGAAGATAAATTACGTTCAGGTTGGAAATTAAATTCTGATATACCATTCTATAAAATAATTGTACCAACTGTTGATACAATACGTTATAAATATCTTGTATCAGCACTTATTAAACAAGGACATCCATGTTTATTATGTGGTCCTGTTGGTACAGGTAAAACATCAGTTGCACATGCTGTTATGTCAGAATTAGATGCAAGAGAATATTCAACATTAATTATAAATATGAGTGCACAAACATCATCAAATATTGTACAAGAAATTATTGAAGCACGTGTTGAAAAACGTGTTAAAGGTGTTTATGTACCAATTGGTGGAAAGAAATTATTAAATTTTATGGATGATTTTAATATGCCAGCTAAAGATGAATATGGTTCACAACCACCATTAGAATTATTAAGATTATGGCTTGATTTTGGATTTTGGTATGATAGAAAAAATCAAACGGTTAAATATATTAAAGTATATATTGAAGAAATAGTTTTCTTTTCATTTTAAATTTCTATATAATTATTTAGGATATGTTATTATTAACTGGTATGGGTCCACCTGGTGGTGGTCGAACAGTTATTAGTCCACGATTACAAAGTAGATTTAATTTAATTAATATGACATTTCCATCAGTAGGTGTTGATAAGAAGATTTGATTGAAAACTAATTGTTTTGTTCTTTTTTTTTATTTAAGGCAACAGAAATTCGTCGAATATTTGGTTCGATGATTTCTCAACGTTTAGCAGATTTTGATGATGAATTTAAAACATTACCAGATGCATTAACATCAGCAACAATTGAAATGTATGAAACAATTGTACAAAAATTTTTACCAACACCAACAAAAATTTATTATTTATTTAATTTACGAGATATTTCAAAGATTTTCCAAGGTTTATTACGTGCTGATAGAAAATTAATTACATCAAAACAGACAATGATTCGTTTATGGATTCATGAATGTTTTCGGTAATAATTTTATTTTCAAGAAGTTATTTGTATTGATTTATTTTCTTTAATTTTAGAGTTTTTGCTGATCGACTTAATGATGATAAAGATCGTGAGCAATTTAGTGCGATTTTAAGTGAAAAATTAGGTACTCATATGGATGTAACATTTCATTCAATATGTCAAAATCGAATTCCACCAGCATTCGGTGATTTTGTTAATCAAGATGAAATTTATGAAGATTTATTGGATTTTGATAAATTAAAAATTCATATGGAAAAAGTTCTTAAAGATTATAATGAAACACCAGGTACAGTTCCAATGGATTTAGTTCTATTTCGTGATGCTATATTACATTTAACACGTATTGTACGTGTTATTCGACAACCACGAGGTAATATGCTTTTAATTGGTATTGGTGGATCTGGAAGACAATCATTAGCTAAATTATCATCATTTATATGTAATTATGCTGTATTTAAAATTGAAATTGCAAAAAATTATCGTCGAAATGAATTTCGTGAAGATTTAAAACGTTTATATAAACAAGCAAGTGTATCAAATCGTGAAACAACATTTATATTTGTTGATACACAAGCTGTTGAAGAAACATTTTTTGAAGATATTAATAATATTTTAAGTTCAGGTGAAGTACCAAATCTATTTCGTACAGATGAACTTGAAGAAATTAAAACATCAATGGCAGCAGAATTAAAAAAAGAAGGAATTGATGAAGATAATAATCAAGAAGTTTATGCATTTTTACTTGATCGTGTTAAAGCAAATTTACATATGGTTGTTTGTATGAGTCCTGTTGGAGAAGTTTTTCGGTAGGATTTTGCTTCTTTTTTTGAAATCCAAATTTGACTATATTCGAAGAATCGAAATCAAATATTGTTTTTTTTCTATCAAGAAGATTACACAAAAGAAGTGAGAATTCGCCTAAGGAGCCTTTGACACTGAGTTATGGTTGGTTCATTAGACTTTGAGCTCGTTTATAGATGATTTCGAAAAAATAAAATCACCGACTTTCGATCTAAAAGTTTGCCTATAGATAGGTCTAATGACTCTTAGAAAAATCAGGAAGCCTCAGTCGAAAAGAATAATGTTTCTTCGTCAAGATCTTGAAATTCTAAAAATAGCTGTCTGTCATACAAATTAAATATCATTTGAAAATTCAATAAGTCAATGAACGAACATTCTTTTCAGCTGAAAATGCCCAAATATTCTAGGAATCAATATTTGTACGTACAGGCAAAATTTTAGATCGAAACTTCGTTATTTGATTTTTGGAATCTACCTACGAATGAGTCGAAAATCCAATAAACTATCATCCATTTCAAAATATAATGTGCTTCACTATTTTTTGAATAAATTTTAATAGAAACATCATGAAGACTCGTGATTTTCACTATTCAAGGGAAAAAACCTCCGAACCATCGAAGTATATAAAAAATTGATTGATCATCAATTGGCTAATCAGATGAGTTCTTTGAAGAGATTTTCAAAAATGATATTCTGAAGTTATTCTCCTTCTGATCTACACAAGGCCAACATTCCTAGTTTACTTCGATCGAGAATTTTAAGGCTTTTCCTGAGACTCTCAATTTTATCTAGCTGACATTTAGTCGCTTGAAAAAGTAGTTATGCAGGGATAATTCACAATGTTGAGTGAAGTGGTGATATTTTTTTTAGGTTCGAAATGATTTGACACTATTATTGCTTACCAAGAACTTACCTATGGGTTAACTGCTGATCAATCAGTTTCCGATATACTTCGATCCTTCTCTCTAGAATATTGAAAACTTCAGGTCTCTCTTATGTTCCTATCAAAATTTATTCGAAAAATAGGGGAGCATATTATACTTTGAAATGGGTAGTAGTTATAACTCGGCATGAAAGGCACATGCGGACGAATTCTACTAGACTTTTGCTCGCCACACTAACACTTGCTAATGAATCTAATATGACCTCAAATGACAGATATCAGTTAGAATAGTCCCTTCGTTAACTGTGAATTCCAATAGTGATTATCAATTCTTGTCAAGAATGGAAATAATATACCTGATAAATCCTTTTTTGTTTAACAATTCTGTTTATTTTATTTGATAGAAATCGTATTCGTATGTATCCATCATTAGTTAATTGTACAACAATCGATTTATTTGCTGATTGGCCACAAGATGCTTTACTTGAAGTTGGTGAACGTTACCTCTCCCAAATTGAATTAGCTGGTGATGAAAAGGTAAATAATTTTCAAATTAAAAAGATTTATTTTGTCTAATCTACCTAAATAAAAATTTCCAGTTTGCAACGGTAAGACAATGGATACTGTTGTTTTTCTTTTCACGTATCACTTTATCATGTTTTTTCTTTTTGATATTTTTTCTTTTGTCCATTTGCATGAAGTCATTTTCATTTTTGTGTGAATTTGTTTTATTGATGAAGAGAAAACAAAAAACATTTGTGTTTAATGAAATTTTTCTTTTTCTCATATGAATAGTTTCGTCCATCCATTGCTCAAATATTTGCTACAGTACATAATTCTGTTTATCAATGTTCAATACAAATGTGGAATGAAATGCGTCGACGAAATTATGTAACACCAAGTAATTTTCTAGAATTAACAACTGGTTATAGAAAGTAAGATAAAATATTTTTAAAATTTATATTTATTTCTATTTTTTTTTAAATAAAATATTCTTTGATTTTATTAGACTTTTGTATGAAAAACGTAAAGAATTATGTGATGCACGTGATAAATTAACAAATGGTTTAGGCAAAATCGAAGAAGCCAAAATTCAAGTAACAGAAATGTCAGTTGAACTTGAAAAGAAACGTGCTTTAGCTAATGAAGCACAAAAGAAATGTGAAGAATCATTAGGTGGTCTTGTTAATGAACAACGTGAAGTTGAACAGAGTAAAGCAACAGTTGAAAAATTAAAAGAACGTGTTAAAATTGATGAAGAAAAAGCATCAACTATTGCTCAAGCTGCTCAAGAAGATTTAGCAGCTGCTATGCCAGCACTTGAAGCAGCTAATACAGCTTTACAATCTTTAACTAAAAGTTCAATTACAGAAGTTAAAAGTTATGGACGACCACCAGTACCTGTTGAAAAAGCACTAGAAGCTGTTATGATTCTTAGAAGTTCGGAACCAACATGGGCAGAAGCTAAACGACAATTGGGTATGTGAAAATTTTGTTTTGATTTACGGTGCGAAAGTCTGAGCACAAAATATTCAATCTGTCTTCGACCACTTTAAAAACAACTAGTTAGAGTCAGTTAGTAACAGAATTTCACTTTGAGTTGATATTGAACAACTATCAGTAAATTTTATGAACAAGTCCCAAACTATGTAACGACTTTGATGTATTTCTTAGTCTATGTCTTTGAATAGCAGCTTCAACTTAACACCAGTTTAGAGCATTGCATCAGATATTAAAATAAGCTACGTCTTATCTATGCATTTCTATTAATGAATTAGTTTCTATGGAAATTGACATTGGTCAGAACATCATTTCTTAAAAAAATACGTTTAAAAATAGAAAAGTTTTAAAAATTGTCATGGAAAATTAAATATCATACTTAAGAGAGTAAATCCAGCCGTTAAAAACTGTTTTACCTAAAGAAGTTTCCTCATTATCCCAGAAGAAATTTCTGAACATATAATTGGAAAGAATGAAAAAATTTGCTGCTAGCTTTAAGTATTGATTTTTAAGTGGCTGAAAAATGAGTGAATATTTTGTGTCAAGACTTTCGTTCTATCAATTAGTATGTAGAAAGTTTTTTTTTAAAATTCTACATCGATGTTTACTGTGAAAAATATTAGAATTTTTCAATTTAATTAATTTGTATTAAATTCAATCTGAAAATTTTCCTTTTTTAAGGTGATACAACATTTATTAATCAATTAATTGATTTCGATAAAGATAATATTCCAGACAAAATAATTATGAAAATAGGAAAATATACATCTGATCCATTATTATCACCACAAGAACTTTGTAAGTTATAATCATTAATTATGATAATAATTATCATTAATTCATTGTTTTCTTATTTTGTACAATAAAATAGTGCGAGTATCAGTTGCTGCTGCTGGTCTATTTGCATGGGTACGAGCTATGGAAGATTATTCAAAAATATTCAAAACAGTCAAACCAAAACGAGATCGTTATGAAGCAGCTATGGCTGAATTAAATGAAAAACGAGCACAAATAGCCGATGCTGAAAGACAAATTCAAGAAGCACAAAAGCGTCTTGATGAATTACGAGCTAATTATGAAAAACAAATGGCTGAAAAAGAACAATTACGTCGTGATTGTGAACATATGCAAATGATGCTTGAAAAAGCTTCTCGTCTTATTAATGGTTTAGCAAGTGAAAAAGTTCGTTGGGAAGCAACTGTAGCTGATCTTGAACAACAAATAAGTTATGTTACTGGTGATTGTTTATTAGCTGCTGCTTTTCTTTCATATATGGGTCCATTTCTTTCACAATATCGTGATCATATGATGAATGAAATTTGGTTTAAAGAAATCAAAAAATTATCTATACCATGTAATCCATCATTTAATTTTGCAAATTTTCTATCTATACCAACACAAGTACGAGATTGGAATATTCAAGGTTTACCATCAGATACATTTTCAACTGAAAATGGTGTTATTGTTACACGTGGGACACGTTGGCCATTGTAAGTTTTCTTTTTTTGTGCAAGCTAAGCAGAAAAAAGAAATTTCTTAATACCCTTCAAGATGACATTACTTTTAAGAAAACAAAGGAAATTTTCGACATCCTGATAGGATATATTCATTCATATCAATGTCTAAAAGTATGTTAGAGTACGATAAGCTTGAAAATCTATGTATGTCTTCTGTTCAGCCTCACCAATATCCTCATAATACGGAAAGCATTGTAATAGATTGACGATCTGTGTTCTATCGTAGATTATAGCAGTATCATAAGCGGTATTTACGAAATTAATTAGGAGTGTATTGGAAACCGGATGCGTACATACGTGTATCGCGATCAAGGAGTTAATTAATTGATTCGTTTAGTGATCTTATTCCCAGGAGAACATATACCATTGTTAGACATCTTTGAACTCGATACTTTAACTTGTGTTAAAAACTTTAGTGTCGAAATCATGAGCACATATATTGACATCTGTTTTATGACTAATTATATGTAATGGTTTTTGAGTGTTTCTTAATCTTTTACTTGTTAAAAATTTTCTTCTGAAAATTGTAAATGAAATTTTTCTTCCATTAGAATGATTGATCCACAAGCTCAAGCCATAAAATGGATAAAAAATATGGAAATGTCAAATAATCTACGTCTTATTGATCTTCAAACACCAGATTATTTACGTATTATTGAAGAATGTATTCGTTCTGGTCGTCCATGTCTCTGTCAAAATGTTAAAGAAGAACTTGATCCATCTTTAGATCCTGTTTTAACACGTGCTGTTAAACGTATTGGTGGTGTTGATATTTTAAAATTAGGTGATCGTGAAGTTGAATATAATAAAGATTTTCGATTTTATATGACAACTAAATTACCTAATCCACATTATGCTCCTGAAATATCTTCAAAAGCTAATATAATTAATTTTGCTGTAAAAGAACAAGGTTTAGAATCTCAATTACTTGGTATTGTTGTACGAGAAGAAAAACCTGAATTAGAAGCTGATAAAGATAAATTAGTACGTGGTATTGCTGCTGGTCGAAAGAAACTTATTGAACTTGAAGATCAATTATTAAGATTATTAAATGAAACAAAAGGTTCATTACTTGAAAATGATGAATTATTATCAACACTTGAAATATCAAAACAAACAGCTAAAACTGTACAAGAACAATTAGTAACATCTGAAGCAACAGAAAAAGATATTGATGCTGCTCGAGAAGTAAAAAAAACATCATATAAATAAATAAATAAATAAATAAAAATAACCATGATATATTTTTGTTTAGAATTATCGACCATGTGCTGAACGTGCATCAATATTATTTTTTGTTCTCAATGATTTAGGAAAAATTGATCCAATGTATCAATTTTCTTTAGATGCTTATATTGATTTATTTAATACATCCATTAAAAAAAGTCAAAAATCTGCTAAACTTGAAGAACGTTTAAATAAATTAAATGATTTTCATACATATGCTGTTTACAAGTAATATTAAAAAGACAAAAGAAAAAATATTCTTGAACAAAAAAATATAATTTTCTTTTCTCTTAAGATATACTTGTCGTGGTTTATTTGAAGCACATAAATTACTTTTTTCATTTCAAATGTGTGTTAAAATTCTTGAAGCTGCTGGTAAAATAAATATGGATGAATATCAATTTTTCTTACGTGGTGGTATTGTAAGTAACAAATAAAAGAATACTTTAATTAGACTATTATCCATTTTACAATATAGTGTCCTACACTGTCTTTTTTTTGAATAAATTTTGATAGAAAAATCCTAAAGACCTGCGGTTCTCATTCTATTTAGTTTGAAATTGATAGTTGATTATTATTTTCTAGGTTCTTGATCGTGAATCACAAATGGATAATCCAAATCCTCAATGGTTAGCTGATTCATCTTGGGATAATATAACAGAATTAGCTAAATTAGCAAATTTTCATGGTATTATTGAATCATTTGAACAATATCCAAGAGATTGGTTTCAATGGTTTCAATCGGGTGAACCTGAAAATACACCAATGCCAGGCGAATGGGATTCAGTAAATGAATTACAAAAAATGTTAATTGTTAGAAGCTTACGTTCAGATCGTGTACCATTTTGTGTAACAAAATTTATCATTAATAATTTAGGCTCGAAATTTGTTGAACCACCTATTCTTGATTTAAGTTCTGTTTATGAAGATTCATTACCTAAAACACCAATTATATTTGTTTTATCACCTGGTGTTGATCCATCAGCTAATTTATCTGCTTTAGCAGAAAAAATGGATTTTAGAAAAAATTTTCTTCCATTATCACTTGGTCAAGGACAAGCACCAATAGCTACACAGAATATTGCTGAAGGTATTCGTTTGGTAAGTCACTCTAATAAACAAAAAAAGAATCAAAGTGTGAAATACGATGAGAAAGAATTTTCAGAAGAGGAATTCATCGAAAGAGTATAGATGTGTATATGAACGTGTGAATGGATGTGCATATACATATAGATCACAGAAGTAGATAAACATAAGAATATTTTTTTTTATAATAAAACTATACAAAATTTATTTAAATAAATTTTAATTGTTTTTTAAGGGTCGATGGATATTTCTTGCAAATTGTCATTTATCATTATCATGGATGCCTGATTTAGAAAAAATTGTTGAAAATCTTTCAATTGAAAAAGTTCATCCACAATTTCGTTTATGGTTATCATCATCACCATCACCACAATTTCCTATATCAATACTTCAATCTGGTATTAAAATTACTACGGAACCACCAAAAGGTATTAAAGCAAATATGAAACGTTTATATGCAATAATTGATGAACAAGATTTTGCTGAGAAAAGTCGTCAAGCTCGTCCAGAAAAATATAAACGTTTATTATTTTGTCTTTGTTTTTTTCATTCATTATTATTGGAACGTAAAAAATTTCTTCAACTTGGTTTTAATATTAATTATTCATTTAATGATTCAGATTTTGAAACATCAAATTTAATCATGGGTAATCTATTACGTGATCAAGACATGACACCATGGAAAGCAATGAAATTTATTATATCAAAAATCAATTATGGTGGTCATGTTACAGATACACGTGATATGCGTGTATTAAATACATATATTGAAGATTTATTTAAAGAAGAAGTTATTGATCCTCAAGTACAATATTTTAAATTAACAAAATTACCTAATTATTATGTACCACGTGATGGAACATTAAATGAATATAAAAATGCTGTTGCAACTGTATTACCAAATTCAGATCATCCAGAAGCTTTTGGTCAACATACAAATGCTGAAGTTGCATCACAAATTCGTGAAGCACGAATGTTATTTGAAACATTATTATCTTTACAACCGCAAGTTGTTGCTGTACAAGGTAAAAAAACAACTGAAGAAGAAGTTATGGAAATGTCAACACGTGTACTAGAACAATTACCTGAAAAAATAGATTATAATTCAACAGTTAAAATTTTATCTGAAGATCATTCACCACTAAAAGTTGTTTTATTACAAGAAATTGAACGTTATAATTTATTGTTAGATATTATACGACAATCATTAATATCATTACAAAAAGGTATTAAAGGTCTTGTTGTTATGTCATCAGATTTAGAAGAAATTTTTCGATGTATTCTTGATGCACGTGTACCAACACAATGGCAAAAAATGTATCCATCATTAAAACCATTAGCAGCATGGACACGTGATCTTGTTCAACGTGTTGATCAATTAGCTAAATGGGCTGAAAGTGCTCATGCACCAGCTGTATTTTGGATGTCTGGTTTTAGTTTTCCAACTGGTTTTCTAACAGCTGTGATGCAAACAACAGCACGAGTCACAAAAATTAGTATTGATCGTTTAATATGGGATTTTGAAGTGATGAGAGTTGAAGATAATTATTTACAAACACCTAAAGATGGTGTTTATGTCAAAGGATTATTTTTAGAAGGTGCAGGATGGGATAAGAAAAATGCATGTTTAATTGAAGCTGAACCTATGCAATTAGAAGTATCGATGCCAACTATTTTATTTCGACCTGTAGAAAATAAGAAAAAATCTATAGCAACTGAAGAAGATCGAGAAAAAAAAACAGGTATGAAGATTGATGAATTTTGAAGAACGATGATAATATATAATAATTCATTTTAGATGTATATTCATGTCCGGTTTATTATTTTCCAAATCGTGCTGGTGGCTTTGGTCATCCATCATTTGTTGTTGAAGTTAATCTGAAAACGCCACATTTTCTAAATAACCATTGGGTAAAACGTGGCACTGCATTACTGATGAATTTAGATAGATAAACTATATTACTGATAAGAGAGTAATTGATATGTAAAGTTGTTTTTTTTTTTTGCTTTTATTGTTTTTATACTTTCACATATATCTTTTATTCTACTATATAAATACACATTTGATAATATATTTACAAAGTATTTGATGATTACAATGAAATTTTTTTATCATTTTCGGCATATATTAACTGACTACGAAATCAATAGCAAATCTACTATGTGATAAATTGTTATTGGAAACTGTTCTTTAAGTATATAAGGAATGACATATTGTTGATTTGAATAATGCGAAATTATAGGTTTCTATTGCCTATTAACAACGAATGAGCTTAAAAATCAGTACTATCAGTTGTCCTCTATTAATAATTCGCGTCATGATAGCTGATCGAAAGCCGTTGATTGACAAGTTAACTTTTCGATTAATCATCGTTTTTTATGTTTAAATTTTGTTGACATCTTTATGCAGGAATTTTTTCACTATTTAAAAAATGTCAGATCTTAGTCGAAATTATACGTCGCACTAATTGTGAACAAGCACGAACCTCTTGAAGTATTATGATGCTTTTTCATTATGATGGTTATCTTGTATAATTTATTTTATGTTTGTTATATTATTATTGTCATATAGTTCATATACATTACCTTAAGTAAAAAAAAATGGAACTGCATCCAATTCATCATATTATAGTTAAAAGTCGCTTACATTGTTGTGCTGAAAGT